TTACGAAAGATGAACTCCAAACACTCGTTCACTCGATGAAAAGACGCTGTGAAGCTGTCTTAAAAAATAAGGGTTATCCTACTAAGTATTGATTGTGTAAGTATCACTTTAAAAAATGCAAATCTAAGATAGATCTTACTTTTAATTGCATAACTTTTTTTGTAATACAGATATTGTAATACTGTATTTATTATTAAATTCTACATTAAATTACCTTCAATTTGACTTATAAACGTTTATATTTAAGTGAAAAGTAATATATTCTACAAGCACACGAAGTTGAAAAACATGAAACCTTCAAAAAGTGTCCACACTTTTGGCCACCACTGTATATTACTGAAAGCCTCCATGTCATTACTGTATAACATAGCAGCTTTGAAGAGAACTGTTACAGACTTTTAGTCTGTACAGGGTGCGTAGTCAAATTATTAAAAAAAAGCACCTTTCAAGCACTCAAAAAACATTTTTAAGCACTTTAAAAAAATATATCATAATTTGGCAGGGTTGAAAAGTTTTTGACAATTGACGGTTTTATCTTCTTTAACAGTCATGTCAAAAAAAAAAAATCATTTGGCATGCTTTGCCNAAAAAAAAAAAAAAAAAAACATTTTGGCATTGTTTTTGACAATTGTCAAAAACATGAAATTATGACTCATGCAAAACGAATGGCATTTTCATATGCTACAGACTGACAATACGCCGAAATAGATAGGGATTTAGTGAATTGTGAAAACGTTGAATAGAACAATGTGAACTGTGTCTTTTTGTATAATTTGAAGTGAAAATCAACATGATAAAGAAAAAATCTCATTTTGAAAGAGGGAATATCAAGCACATTTTGAAAACATCCAATGAAAAGCACCCTTAAGGGCTTTTAAAAAACGAAAATCAAAAATAAGCACCTTTAAGCACTTTTTAACCCTTTACCTGCCGAGTAAAATTTACGTGATTCACTTCCCAGTGCCACCGTTTTTCGTTCAAGTGCGCTTTGTTATGCGGTGTTTTGGTGGGGGGAAAAGATGCATGCTTTGCAATTTAAAAACAGTTTACTTTCACAAGAGAAGAAAAAGGAAAAAAAGAAAATACAAAACTTAAGTTAAAGAATAAAAATACTATCTAAAAGGTGTTGAAACTTAGCTGTTGTATGATAAATCGTGAAACATGGTTGGACACATAAACCAGCATCGCATTCATTGTACTGATAGAGGGATTCTTGACGAATATACACGGGAAACGAAAGTTAAAGAAGAATAAACCCGACCTTACTCAAATAGAAACACACAAGCAATAAATATTATGATATAACTTTTCCAGCACATCCCTTCATCATTCCCCCTTCCCCTCCTCTGAAATTGGTAATACATACATTCATTGCAAACACTTCCATTGGCGAACACTTTCAAGGTCATTTTACTGCATGCTCAAGTCGGGGGTGTAGCTCTATTTATTAATTAAAAACAGTTGCAATTAAAAAACAGTTTACTTTCACAAGAGAGGAAGGAAAAAAAGAAAATACAAAACTTAAGTTAAAGAATAAAAATACTATCTAAAAGGTGTTGAAACTTAGCTGTTGTATGATAAATCCTGAAACATGGTTGGACACATAAACCAACATCGTATTTATTGTACTGATAGCGGGATTCTTGACGAATATATACGGGAAACGAAAGCGAAAGAAGAATAAACCCGACCTTACTAAAAAAGAAACACACAAGCAATAAATATTATGATATAACTTTTCCAGCACATCCTTTTATCATTCCCCCTTCCAATCCTCTGAAATTGGTAATATAGTGGAGCTTTGTTTATACGACGCCGAAGGGACCACCGAAAAACGTCGTATAATCGATTTTTACTTCTAAAACTTAAACCAACTCTGTTTTCAGTTAATTTTAATGTTTAATGTGTTGATTTACATAAATTTCTAAATAAGACAAAGCAAAACAAATAACCGAAGAAGAAAAATTGCAGTGAGCAATTTGAATGTATGTTACCTTTAATTATATTCTCTTGCTATTAGTCTCTACAATGCTTTGAATAGCGAGGTGAACTTACTGCTTTCTATGATGCAATTTTAGATTTCTAATGACGGCCAAATCTAATGGCTGAAGCTCAATTGTGCAATTTGCAGGAAGAAAGAGAGCTTTTTCATTTTCCAAAATAATTAGTATATATGGGTGCGCTGGACATTGGTCGATGAATAGCAAAATTTTTCGTTATTGCCTCTTCATAACATTGTCTAGTTTTTGCAGTCATCTAGTAAAAATTACGGTCGTCATCCAAGCATTCATGTTGGCAAATTCCGCCCTTTTTTAAAATACACAAGAAAAAATAAAAAATTAAATAAACGTGAACAAAATCTAAAAACCGACGTATAACCGATTCTGTGCATCGTAAAAACAATATATTTTTACATTAAAATGAATAGGAATGATTTGGGACCACACTAAAACACTTCATTGCAAACACTTCCATTGGCGAACACTTTCAGAGTCATTTTACTGCATGCTCAAGTCGGGGGTATAGCTCTATTTATAGCAGCGTAATGCAAAGCATCGTACTTCGGGAAAGTGTATATATACGCCTGCGGCAGTTAACGCATCGTATGGCCGAGACGTATATATACGCCAGCGGCAGTTAAGGGGTTAAAAACGTTACGCACCCTGTCTGTAGCTGTCTATTGCTATGGCAACAACTGCAATCACTTTTATGATGCGGGTGCAATGGAGGAATGAAGGCATCATACCAACCTATGCCAAGATCAAAACAAAACTATTCATCCCTTGCCCTTATTAAAAGTAACATTTATTATATTATTTGAACTAAAATTAAGAATTAACCATTAAATATTATTTGAACTAAAATTAACCATTAAATATTATTTGAACTAAAATTAAAAATTAACCATTAAATATTATTTGAACTAAAATTAAGAATTATCATTTAAATATTACTTGAACTAAAATTCAGAATTATCCATTAAATATTATTTGAACTAAAATTAAGAATTTACCGTTAAATATTATTTGAACTAAAATTAAGAATTTACTATTAAATATTATTTGAACTAAAATGAAGAATTATGGAACGAAAACTTAAATTACTTTTCCATCAACAACCAAGTAAATTTTGAANTGAAGCTCACTTGTGCAATTTGCAGGAAGAAAGAGAGCTTTTACATTTTCCAAAATAATTAGTATCTATGGGTGCGGCGGACATTGGTCGATGAATAGCAAAATTTTTCGTTATTGCCTCTTCATAACATTGTCTAGTTTTTTCAGTCATCTTGTAAAAATTACGGTCGTCATCCAAGCATTCATGTTGGCAAATTCCGCCCTTTTTTAAAATACACAAGAAAAAATAAAAAATTAAATAAACGTGAACAAAATCTAAAAACCGACGTATAACCGATTATGTGCTTCGTAAAAACAATATATTTTTACATTAAAATGAATAGGAATGATTTGGGACCACACTAAAACGTCGTATAAATGTAAGCGGCGTATAAACGATGCTCCACTGTACATACATTCATTGCAAACACTTCCATTGGCGAACACTTTCAATGTCATTTTACTGCATGCTCAAGTCGGGGGTATAGCTCTATTTATAGCAGCGCAATGCAAAGCATCGTACTTCGGGAAAGCGGCAGTTAACGCATCGTCTGGCCGAGACGTATATATACGCCAGCGGCAGTTAAGGGGTTAAAAACGCTACGCACCCTGTCTGTAGCTGTCTACTGCTATGGCAACAACTGCAATCACTTTTATAATGCGGGTGCAATGGAGGAATGAAGGCGTCATACCAACCTATGCCAAGATCAAAACAAAACTATTCATCCCTTGCCATTATTAAAAGTAACATGTATTATATTATTTGAACTAAAATTAAGAATTAACCATTAAATATTATTTGAACTAAAATTCAGAATTATCCATTAAATATTTGAACTAAAATTAAGAATTTACCGTTAAATATTATTTGAACTAAAATGAAGAATTATGGAACGAAAACTTAAATTACTTTTCCATCAACAACCAAGTCAATTTTGAAGTTAAATCACCTAATGAGTTTTAGCATCAGGGAAAAAAAATTACAAATGCTCCAATTCTCATGCTCTTTATAAAAATACAAAAACTATTTATAATCTCTTGAATTTTATATATGTTGCTATTTCTATGAAACTTTTGTGATAAAAGTGTTAAAACACTCCATAATAATTTTTAAACCTTTCATACTTACATCCTTGACTCTTTCAATGCTTGCAGCATAATCCATTTTTCTTCTAAAAAAGTCGTCGGGCGATTCTCTATCATAAATAGATTGTGATTCATTTAATGTCCACTGGCCATCTTCATCAGAACCATCCCACATTGGCATTCTGACAGGCAGTGGAGGTAGGGCACGGTTAGTAAAAGGGCTAGTATTAGGACTAGATTTTTTATTGCTTGTGCAATTTGAAGCGGCAGGTAATTCCTCATCAGATTTGGAAATAGGTACAGGACTCTTTTTCAGTCCAAAAAAGTTGTTAAATGCACTTTTAATGAAAACTGGAAAACTTTTTCTTTGGTATTTATGGTCACTACCCACTTTGGTTTGAGACTCCTTTTTGCCTTTTTTCTGCCGAAGATAAGAGGAGAAAAATCCTGATGACTTACTGCTCTCACTGGACTGAACACTCTTAGAAGAACGAGCGTAGATAGCTCGTTTCTCGTGAGGATTTAAAGTCTGCAAAGATGTATGCACTTCTTCCAAAGTCATGTGAATAGGCTCACTGTTAGGATCGTAATGACTACAACGAGATGCCTCACTTTTGCTGAATATCTCCCAAGGCATACTAAAGCGTTTAGCTATAGTCTTTGGGCTTTCTGTTTCAGGGGTAGAGCTAGTCTGATGAGAAGATTTGCTTTCAGAAGACTTACAGCGTACCTGTATATCTTCCGATTCAGCACCACGCTTTTTGAGACTCCTATCCCTGCGCGTTAAAGTATTTACATCTGACAAACTTGATCTATGGCCAGATCTCTCACTAAAAAGACAAGAATTTGAAGTAGGAAAATTAGATGCTGTTACAACAGATAATTGAGAAGTTGCATGCCTAGATAATGGTTCAGATGGCGGCATATCTAGAGATCTGCTAAAAAAATAATGCATTCCCTCATTTTGAGAAAGACTACTAGACGGACGTTCGTGAAAAGCAGATAATCTGTCATGATGTTGTCCAATTACTGCAACAACATGCTGACTATGCAAAGATTCAATACTACTATGGTAATCTCGAACAGGATTAATAGGTGGTCTTACAGCTTTTGGTTTTAATACTGTAGTGTATTTAGATCTCTCACTATGACATCGTTCAGATTTGCACATACCAATATGACACAAACAAGGACTGTCTCTTTGATCTTCGGAGGAAGATTCTTCATCCTCACAAATTGGCGATTTTTTCTCATCTGGTAACCTCACAGAAAGATGATATTCCTCGGCTGCCACCGAAACATTTGAAGGAACATAATATGCACTTAGTGTTTCGTCACTGTAAGTACCATCAAATATTTTTTCATCAGATGTATCCGTTTCTGTATCTGGTTTACAATGAATATCATAATCATCTTCACTATTAACCTCTCCTTCAGCATAAATAACATGATCTTTGCATTCACGAATAGATGACAATGTTCCATTCCATTTGATATCCTGAGTACAATGTGCACAGTCCACACAATCTCTACAACGGATATAATGCATTTTATGACAAGTCAAACATTCACCAAATTCAACGTGACTTCGACTATTTTTATCACTGCATTCTTCATCAAGGCTGTTACTGTTTCTGGACAAACAAATACTAAAGGCAGAGATTTGACCTTTGAAACTGTCTAATTTCTTATCGTCACGAGGTTTTTTGCTTTCTTTTACCCATGAAGAATCAGTAGAGAAAAAAGTACAAGCATGCTCAGGTCCAGACTCAGTTTCACTCTCCGAATGAACATCTCCCACACTTGGGACTGACTTTTTGTCAAACGGAGACTCATTGAAATCTGAATCATCAGTAGACTTTTTGGGAGATTTAGGGCTCGTAGATTCAGATCCATCAAAGTTCAGAGTTGTGGTCCCATCAGTATACATTTTACTTCTCCAAGAATTTAAAATTAGTTCTTTATTTGGTGAGGGTAACGAGGTTTGAAGAAGTGAAGGTCTATTATTTTCTCCTTCAAAGCCACTGTCTGTGCTCATATTCGGTGATTTGACAGAGGAATCTGTGGAGTCGGATGGGGTGTTTATTGAAACAGGTGGAGCTTGAGAAGGGCATAGTGATTGGTTATGTGGTTTTAGAGATAAAGAGGCCGGCTTTACAGTTTCTTCCATGTTATTATTCTCCCTTCCAGATATGTAAGATAAAGTTAAAAAGTAAGGCCATGAACATGGGCAACAGCTAACAGTACTAACTTTCATTTTGGTGAAGTCTGAAAGTTATACTTTCGCTATGAGGGAAAAGGTGCTCAGAAGAAGTAATAAAGTATAAAAGCAGCATGTTAGTCCTTTTCGTGAGATGAATTGTAGTTTCAGCATGAATATCTATTTTTTTCCTAACCTTGAAAAACAATAAGCCGCTGGACATTTTATCAACTTGTTCATTGCCCTGTCAAAAAAACCTCTTCATAATGAAACTGCGGAAGACCTGAAAGAAAAATCAGTTCTCAGTACATAAATTTTCAAAATGGTTTTCGTAATAAATTTAATCATCAGTATAAAATGCATCAAAATATATAATTAAGCTGCTAATTTTAAGAGCAAAAATTTAAAACAGCAATATAATTGGTGTAATATGTTCTGCTAATTCCAGATAGGCAATTTTCATTGGTTTTTTTGAAGTTAGAAGTAACAATATGAGCTTTTTTCAGGTAATTTAATTTAAAACTCAAAAAACTTTATTCTACCTGAAAATGTAATTATCAGTTAATTCACATAATTAGAACTAAAATAATTTATTGATTGATATACAATCTTACTAAATATAAAACTATCTCTTTTGCAATAAAAATTCTTTTATACAGTTATGTATACTTTTTTTAATGTACCTATTCAAGCAGGTTAGAACATACTGTACATTTTTGTTTTGGAAAAAATGTTTATTTTGAAGCAAGCTTCTATGAACAGGAGTCAAATTAAAACTTAATAGAATATATTTGTGCCATGATCCTTTTGAACAAATAGAACTTAGAGGCTGAGTTAAGCAATTTAAAGCAGAAAAAGCATAATTGCAGGAATTGCATTCATGGATGGCAAGTTTCTTCCATAACAGAAAAAAAGTGTGAAACAAGACACAGAAAAATCGGTCTAAAAAGAAACTGGTTTCTTCCTACCCCAGTGGAAGAAATGGAAAACTCTATCAAAAAGTAGTGTAAATATTTAAACAAATTATAACAAATAACATATTAATACAAAATATTAAAACAATTTTTAGAAAAATTTATAATTACAATCAAAATAAAATAGTACAAAATTAAAATACTACTTAATATATCACTAGTAATTAAATAATTAAAAACTAAATGAATTTCTGAAGAAATTAAAATAAATAAAGTCCTCTTATATTTTACGTAAATGAATATTAAAACTCTATTTCATATAGAATTATTAAAAATTTGTAGACTGATACAATTAAATTTAGAAATCATATAAGAAATGTATAGATACTACTACAAATCACATAGTTAATTTAATCTATCATCATTTATATCTCATTCCCTATTATATTATTTGTAAATAATATATTTAATTTGCAATTACATCATATATTATTATTTTTTATTTGTAACATTAATTTTCTTAATTTGTAAAAAAAAAAAAGGCACTTGGGATAATTTAACTTCTTTCTGATTCTTTTCAAAAAATGTTAAAATCTAATTCCTTTGCCTTATAATAACATTGTCCATTTCTTCGACGACCACCTTTTTTTTTTAACTTTGAAATTAATAAGAAACAAATGGCAGATAAGTAAATTATTCTCCCAGTTAAACTGTAAAAAGAAATTTGTTTCAATGACAAGGATATATGAATAAATAAGAGTTCTTGGTTATTTGAAAACTCCTTCAAAATTTCAACAAAACAAAATATTTATGGTTTGGCCAAAAAATATTCTTTTAAGGCAATTTGGAATACATAGTATAAAATGTAAAACTTAAAATTATAGTACTTGCTAGTAGATTATAGTACTTGCTAGTAGCTATTATTATTTGCCATATATTATTACATATTATAATATCTAAAGCTATTATTATATCATCATAAAGATTTTTTTTTTGCTACCAGACGTAATTAAGAAGCAAAATAAATTCAAGGATCACAGTTTAAGGAGGAACTGTTCAATCTTGAAATACAAGCAATAATTCAAGATAAAATAAATAAAATTACTACTTATGAACATTGATTATATTATACTAAAATCATTGACATTAATAATCTATTTTTACTTTGAAATTCATAAGGAATAAATGGCGGAAAAGTTAATTTTTTTCCCTGTTAACCTGCAAAAAGAAATTTGTTTTCTATGTTTCAATAGAGTTCATGGTTATTTGGAAACTCCTTTGAAATTTCAATAAATCAAAAAAGGTTTTGTTTTTGCCAAAAAATGTTCTTTTAAGACATTTTGGAGCACACAGTATAGAATGTAAAACTTGCATCGAGTGGAAACTTGCATCGAATGGAAACTTGCTAGCAAATTAAACTGTTACTATTATTTGCTATAATTTACTCAGAAGTATCATTATCAAAATTACTTTTTTTTTGTTATCAGATACAATAAAGAAGTAAAATAACTTAAGGATCACAGTTTAAGGAGAATATGTTCAATTTTTCAAAACCAGATTAAAAGCAATAATTCAAGACATTAAAACCACTACCTATAACCATTAATTATATACTAAAATCATTGACATTAATCTAATATTAAACAAATAAAATGAACTAAAAGAAGCTCCAAGACGTATGACATTTTTCAGGAATTTTTTACAGTTGATATGTTTGCACATTCAAATAAAATTAGAGCTTTATTAAAAATTCTTTACAACTAGAAGTTTAAGTGTAGTTGGGCACATAATTATTCGGTAAATACGTATAACATTTCACTTTCAGATGTTATGAACACGGGTAGAAGTTAATTTGAATAAGTTTATAAATATTTTTAAGATAAATAATCAAAAAGAAGTCTTTATTATTGATTGGGAAATGTAAGTATCGGATATCGGTTCAATAGTGATGAAACTAATTATTACAAAATTTCATTATTTTAAATTAGAAAATGTAGACAAAATAATTTTTTTCTTCATAATAATGAAGTCAAATTAACGGGGATAAATATTTTCAAACATAACATGACATAATCTAAAAGGGGCAAAACTGTAAGTTAAAATAAATCGGAAACAATTAATTTCCGCAATATCAATTCTTTTGATATCTATTCGAAACTGCTGTTTAAAATTTATAAAGAAATATATCCAAAAGATTTTAATTAGGTTTTGCCTTTAAAAATCAATAACTTAGAAAATTGGGACAATTCATTGTATGTTTTCATCTAATTTTCCATATTCACGTACATTAGATAGCTTAGACTGAAAGCTTTGGGGAGTTTAAGGTAATTAATGACAACAAAAAATGATACCTGATTAGAAGAAATTCTGATAAAAATCAATGAAGCTGTAAATTGTTGTCATTTTCAGAGTTTCTTATTTACAAATCAAGTCAACTAACGCTCGGATCAGTACATCAATATCCGCCATTAATAAGCACGAAAAAGCTCGGACTGGTCCACTTTTGGTTTCGTAGTATCGTAGGATTTGTAGAGTAGTATCAATGACAACTACTCATAAAACGTTACCAAAATGTTGATGTATGACGCTAAAGAACAATTTTTTAAAGAATTAAATGAAAACTACAAATTATGATAAATATATTATCTATTCTTAGATTTCCTCAAGATTCTTTCTGTATTGAAGGATTTAAGAAAACTGTAATAAAGTGTCATTCATTTGAGAAAATAATTAAAAATATTATTATTGCTCACTCTAAAAAAATTATTATGAAATGAAAATTCACTTTTTAAGTTATTAACACATGAAATTTTATTTCATTATGAAATCTGATGTGAAAAAATGAAGAAAGACATAACGCAGGTGCATCCACCAATTCTCAAAAAAAACAAAAAAAAAAGACGATAAAAATTTTATGTCGATAGTTAAACGAAATTTCATAATAAAGTAAAAGCGTGACAAATTTTTCGTTTTCTGAATTAAAATTTTTAATAAGATGGAGCACTTATGCACTATCCTTCAACTATTTAATTAAGCAATCTTTAAACGAAGCAGAAAAAATTTACTGAAAACGTTCAATTTACGATATTTTTCTTTCGACAAAATATAAACAAATCATAATGATTGAGTTCAATAATTAATCATTTTCCCCTATTTATTCAATTTAGAAAGAAAAATTCCTATTTTAAATAAGAGTTAATTTGAATAATTGCATATGGCTGTTCGAATTGAAAATGCAAATGATGAGAAAAAAGATGCAAGTGATACTTCATGCAAGGTAAAAGTTAAGATTGAAGTGGAAATATCTTATTTAGTTAAATTTCTCATTCTTCTAAATTTTTCTTATTTCATGTGCATATGAAATTTTATTTTTCTGTCACGAGTTTCACTGTGATTGTTTAGGATCGTGTTTTCATAGTAACCATAAATATACTTTGCCATGATCTTTCTATAGGTTTAGAATTTAACTTTTGATAATTTTTTATTATATGTAATGTATTAACTTATATATCTATTGAATTAAACTTCAATAAATAAAGCAAAATTAAATAAATCAGATAATAATGAGAAATCTATCAAAGTTTTTGTCTTTCTTGCGTTCAGAGATGATTATGCTCCAGAAAAATCCGAATTTTTCTCTATCTATGATCCGGAAATCCAAAGGTGCAGAAGTTTCAAGAAATCATCGATCACATTTATGTATAAAAATTCTTGTTTATTTTATTTAAAAACATTAAAACTGGAATATATACTTGGCATCTCTTTCATTTGTAAATCTTTTTTTCTGGTAGAATAATAAATGTGATTAGAGATAAAAGTGAACTTAAACATACCGTATATTCCGGCGTATAACGAGCACTTTTAATACAAAAAATAACATTGGAATGTACGGGTGCGCGGTATACGCCGAATATAAAAAATTATGAATTAAAAAAATTTAAATATAGAAAAATACTTTTATTTTAAAGAAATAACATACCTTAAGCTATATAATTTATTGATTTTCGTTATTACATAAATAGTTCATTAAATTCGTCTTCTGTTATTTCTTCAGGCACGTCATCACAATCTGTTTCGTCTTCATCATCTGTGTTACCCTCATCCATAAATAAACAGTCATCTTCTGATCCGTCCAGATTATTTGAAATGCTACATTTTTTGAATGATTTTCTAACCATCTCAGGCTTAATTTCATCCCATGCTTTTAATATCCATTCGCACACTGTTTCCAAACTTGCATGGCGCATATTCTCCTTTCATCCTTTCGTAAAGATTTTCTCGTCCTCCAACATCCAAGTGTTCCACTGTTTTTTTAAATTGGCTTCAAATGGTTTGTTTAAGCAGACGTCTAATGGCTGAAAAAATGGTGTCAATCCGCCTGGAATAACTGCCATATCGGTGTTACATTCTTTCAACAGTTATCTCTAAGGTGGGACCAAAACATGTCCCACACTAAAAGGCTTTCTAGTTTTCTATAGATAGAACCGAATATAGAATATAGATTTCTGAGATATTGCACATGTACAATCCAAATTTTCGTGCACGTTATACGAAGAGTATATCTTAAAATTTAAAAAAAGTTATTAGAAATTACGGGTGCTCATTATACGCCGAGGCACATTTTGTGCCGGAATATACGGTAATTATTCATTTAATTTATGCTACATATAATTTATTTAAAATTTCATGTTGTGAAAATATCAATGATATTAAATTCATAAGGACATTAATTTTTTGAAATGCGTCATTAATGATTTTACTCAAGAAATTTTCAGGATTTTTTTAGTTGGGCTCACAATCACCCATGCTGTGTTAAACATGTGTTTTATTTTATTAAAATATTTCATTAAAACTCAATAACTGCAAAATGTCTTTTCTCACAGCTAAAGGATATTTCGCCACTACGACAGCGTTTAAGAAGTTGGTTGAATAAAAATATGCGGATTGAAATGACAGATGGAAGAATTCTTTATGGAATATTCTTGTGCACTGACAGAGATCGCAATGTGATTCTTGGTTCTTGTGCTGAATGCTTACCTGCAGAAAGTAAGCAATATTTTAGATAGAGTTGCAGGGATTCTTAAAATTAAACATGGTGCAAGTACCCTGTATCTTTTACCTGGCCGGTTTCATATACTTCATCAATTCGAATGTTTACCATCAGAAAGTAAGCAATCTTTTAGATAGAGTTGCAGGGATTCTTAAAATTAAGCATGGTGCAAGTACCCTGCATCTTTTACCTGGCCGGTTTCATATACTTCATCAATTCGAATGTTTACCATCAGAAAGTAAGCAATCTTTTAGATAGAGTTGCAGGGATTCTTAAACTTATGCATGATGCAAGCACCCTGTATCATCTTTTACCTGGCCGGTTTCATATACTTCATCAATTCGAATGTTTACCATCAGAAAGTAAGCAATATTTTAGATAGAGTTGCAGGGGTTCTTAACCCCTTAACTGCCGCGGGCGTATATACACGTCTCGGCCAGACGATGTGTTAACTGCCGCAGGGGTATATATACGCTTTCCCGAAGTACGATGCTTTGCATTGCGCTGCTATAAAATAGAACTACACCCCCTACTTCAGACTGCAGTAAAATGGCCTTGAAAGTGTTTGATTTGTGAATGTATTACTAATTTCGGAGGAGGGGGTATGGGAAAAGGATGTTATGGAAAAGTGATATCGTATTAATCGCTTGTGTGTATTTATTTGAGTAAGGTCAGGATTATTCTTTTTTCGCTTTTGTTTCCTGTATGTATTTGTTGCTTTTTATTCTTTCCATCAACATTTTCAAAGAAAAATGCATCGCGAAAATGTGCTGTTTGTTCAAGAAAAAAAATTCTTCGTGAATCCCGCTATCAGTGCGATGAAAGTGATGTTGGTTTATGTGACCAACCATGTTTCAGGATTTATCATACAACAGCTAAGTTTTAACATCTTTTATATTGTAATTTTATTATTTAATTTAAATTTTTTATTTTCTTTCTTTCCTTTTTCTCTTAAAATTAAACTGTTTTTAAATTGCAAAGCGTGCATCATTTTTCCCACTCAAAACACCGTGTAACAAAGTGCACTTGAGCGAAAAACAGTGGCACTGGAGAGTGAATCACATTAATTTTACTCGGCAGTTAAGGCGTTAAATTATGCATGGTGCAAGTACCCTGTATATTTTACCTGGCCGGTTCCATATACTTCATAAATTTGAATGTTTACCAGCAGAAAGTAAGCAATATTTTAGATAGAGTTGCAGGGGTTCTTAAAATTATACATGGTGCAAGTACCCTGTATCTTTTACCTGGCCGGTTCCATATACTTCATAAATTTCGAATTTATTACTCATCCGGTTCTTCAGTGCATCAATAGAGATTGCAATAAGATTTTTGTGTGTTAAATATTTACCAATATAATTTGTGTAATGAAAATACAATGATAGTGTAATCTATAATTTTAAATTCATATCAATGATTTATATTTTAAAAAAAAATGTTTTATTTTAAATTTTTTTCTCTCNTCAAAGAAAAATGCATCGCTAAAAATGTGCTGTTTGTTCAAGAAAAAAAACCTGCATATGAAAACTATCAGTGCGATGAATGTGATGTTGGTTTATGTGTCCAACCATGTTTCAGGATTTATCATACAACAGCTAAGTTTTAACATCTTTTATATTGTATTTTTATTATTTAATTTAAATTTTGTATTTTCTTTCTTTCCTTTTTCTTGTAAAATTAAACTGTTTTTAAATTGCAAAGCGTGCATCATTTTCCCCACTCAAAATACCGTGTAAGAAAGTGAACTTGAGCGAAAAACGGTGGCACTGGGGAGTGAATCACATTAATTTTACTCGGCAGTTAAGGGGTTAAATTATGCATGGTGCAAGTACCCTGTATATTTTACCTGACCAGTTCCATATACTTCATAAATTTGACTGTTTACCAGCAGAAAGTAAGCATTATTTTAGATAGAGTTGCAGGGATTCTTAAAATTAAGCATAGTGCAAGTACCCTGTATCTTTTACCTGGCCGGTTCCATATACTTCATAAATTTGAATGTTTACCAGCAGAAAGTAAGCATTATTTTAGATAGAGTTGCAGGGGTTCTTAAAATTATACATGGTGCAAGTACCTTGTATCTTTTACCTGACCGGTTCCATATACTTCATAAATTTCGAATTTATTACTCATCCGGTTCTTAAGTGCATCAACAGATATTGCAATAAGATTTTTGTGTGTTAAATATTTACCAATATAATTTGTGTAATGAAAATACAATGATAGTGTAATCTATAATTTTAAATTCATATCAATGATTTATACTTTAAAATTTTTTATTTTATTTTATTTAATTTTTTTCTCTCATTGTTTATTGGTTTGATACATTTAGTTTAGTCGTCATATTCTAACTCATATTTTGGAAATTTATAGTAGCATTTTATTTTCCATATTAATTCAGTATTGTTAAAAATTAGTTTTGGAATATGTGTATTATCTTTTAAGGTATGAGACCCATACAATAACGCATACTTTGTAGTAATTTTTGTGCAGTAACTTTGAGGGATAAAAGGCTGAACTTAGCTTTCTTTGAAATTTCTGTCAGGTGTTTCCTGAACTTTGTTTTTGGTATAAACCTTTTCCCCTAATCATGATTTAGGGTTTGAGTACAATAGACAGTGCCGTTCCTGGCGGATATGCAGCGAATGCCCCGCACGCAGGCGCCCAATTTAAGGGGCGCCAAATTCAACTATTCGAAGTAAAGCATAGTATATAGGGACGCACGAAATTATTCTTGCACGCAGGCGTTCGCCACCCCAGGAACGGCACTGACAATAGACATCTTGTTGATGTGCCCTGCTCTTCGGAGCTGCCCAACCTAAGTCTAATGTTTCTTTGTTAGTTGTTTAAAAATTTCATTGCTTATTAAAATTTTTTATTTAATATTCTAAGAACCAAACTAAAAATTTAATATTTTTGTAAAAAAATTGAAATTTATGTTTTTTTTAATGAAAATTGTGATCAGGATTTCAGTTCACAATTTTAAAAAGAATTTTAAATAAATTTTACAATTATTTTTAGTTTCTAATTTCTATTCATTCTCTTAAAATTTCATAATAGGAATTTATTATTATTTTTTTTTTTAACTTATTCAAGAGTCCTAAAATTATTGAAATAGCAAAACATTTAGAATAGATATCTTAAATGCTTTGANCTGCTGATTACCTATAGTATAATTAAATTTCAATATAATGCATGGCAACTGTTGGTAGTTTTGAAGTTTATATATTTTCTTGGCAAACTTCAGTTTTTGACATTTTTGACGGGTTTTTGACGGTTTAAACCAGTATTATACCCTTGTCATGTCAAAAACCACTTTTTGACGTCAAAAACCCAACCCTGCTTTTAAGGTATGAGACCCATACAATAACACATACTTTGTAGTAATTTTTGTGCAGTAACTTTGTGGGGTAAAAGGCTGAACTTAGCTTTCTTTGAAATTTCTGTCAGGCGTTTCCTGAACTTTGTTTTTGGTATAAACCTTTTCCCCTAATCATGATTTAGGGTTTGAGTACAATAGACATCTTGTTGATGTGCCCTGCTCTTCGGAGCAGCCCAACCTAAGTCTAATGTTTCTTTGTTAGTTGTTTAAAAATTTAATTGCTTATTAAAATTTTTTATTTAATATTCTAAGAACCAAACTAAAAATTTAATATTTTTGTAAAAAAATTGAAATTTATGTTTTTTTTAATGAAAATTGTGAACAGGATTTCAGTTCACAATTTTAAGAAAAATTTCAAATAAATTTGACAATTTTTTCAAGCTGCTAATTTCTATTCATTCTTTTAAAATTTCATAATAGGATTTTTTTTTTTTAACTTATTCAAGAGTCCTAAAATTATTGAAATAACAAAACATTTAGAATAGATATCTTAAATGCTTTGAACAATTTGAGTTTGATTCCTTAGTCCAACGTATCAAATTTTTAAAATTCTGGAATTGCCACTAATTTTAAATCAAATAAGACAAATGATAGACAAATGATCAATTGTGATATAGCACTATTGCCTTTGCATAAGAGAATTAAAACTTTTAAATGAATTTGCTATATTCTAACAACTGAGCAAAATTAAATTCATTGCATAGTGTAAATAAAATTTTGCATTGAAAACTGTGAAAATCAAATGCAAAATAAAAATTAAAAAAACAGCATTTTTCTAAACAATAACACGTGCGACATTAGCTAAACAGAAATTATTTTTTTTCCGAATGCATTTCATTTATGAAATAAACATCTGCATTATCAGAGTCTTTAGTAATTGAACATGACCCCAATTAGCTGGGATCATCAAAATTCAATAATAATTGATAATTCGCTTTTTTAAAATCATTAATTGGTAATGGCAGTGCTTTCTTGTCAAGGTTTATCTTGTTATAGATATATATAAAAAAACAATTTTTACTCAAATATTATCAATTTTTTGGACTAAGGTGTTTCTGAGGCACTTTCTAGGGAGTTTAAAAACATTTTCACGATTTATTACCTTATAAATAAGGATTGTTGAAACCTGTCTATCCATAGTTCAATATATCTTCAAACCCTAACATTATTGCTTTTAAATTATCTTTAAAACAGTTTTAACAATTTTAGAAATCTATCTGAACCCTGTCTGTGGTGTCTTCCCATAAAACATAATCAAATTATTTTATCATTTTTTTAAATACTACTTCTGTTTTAAACTATCAACTGGTGGGATTCCTTGCAACAAGTGGCTTCCATGTTATTCAACGCTGCAAGTTCTATGTTGCAAGATTTTTTTTTATACATATATTTGTCCATGGGCTTAACATTTGGAGAGTTTAAAAAAAATCATACATGTTGTCATGTAAAATCTGTATTATCTTATCTCATTACTGAACTTAAATCAGATCCTTTGATTGGGCAAAGCTGATGTTCTTATAATGAATTACATTTAACCAACTGCCAATAAGATTGACTTGAAATAATCAATTTGTCTTAATCTAATTTTATTTATTAAGAACTTATATTCATATAATTTTATATTAGGTGATGATAGTACAGTTGAAGAACCTCGTGTGCTTGGTTTGGCCATGGTTCCTGGACATCATATAGTCTCCATAGAAGTAGAAGTTGACAATGATGCAACTACAAATTCTGAAGTGTTATGATTATAAATATTTTAAAATGTATTGTAAATATTTTGTTTATCCTAATAAATATAAAATAGAAANTCTCCATAGAAGTGGAAGTTGACAGTGATGCAACTACAAATTCTGAAGTGTTATGATTATAAATATTTTATTAATATATTATAATTTGTAAATATTTTGTTTATCCTAATAAATATAAAATAGAAACTATTGTGCAAAAAACATATTTTATTGTTATAAAAATAGTGTATAAATTGATCAGAGCTTTAGTCAAATCTATAAAGGCAAAGTATATTTAAGACATTTGGGTATATCAGTTTCATTTAAAACAATAAAAATTTAGGCACATCTAGAACAATATTAATTTCAATTAATACATTTCTATGATTTGGAAAGTATTAGTTGAGCCCATATTCTTTAGTAAGATTCCCTGCAATAACAATCCTTTGAATTTCACTTGTACCTTCATAAATTTCTGTTAGTCTTGCATCTCTGTAATGCCTTTCAGCAGGCATGTCAGTTACACAGCCCATACCACCTAATATTTGAATAGCCTAAAATAAACAAATGCTCTTAAAACAACTGCAATTAATTTGTTTGGAATTTTTTTTTTATGAGTAATTGTATTATTTGGCTGATTATCAAGAACAAATTGATAAAAGTATTTGCATCTGTGCGACAAAGGTGCTATGTTGCAATATAACAGAACTGTATATACTCTTACATAAACTAAATAACTTAATGCATTGAAATGAGATATGCTAAAAATCTGATAACACTACTGAACTGCACAAGTTTCATTTTTGTTTAAATTAACTAAGTTTGTTTAATTATAAGAGTAATTCTTATTCCTCTGCTTTAGAATACAATAGGACTGAGGAAAGTGAGCAATATATTTTGATGAAATTCTTTAAAAGTTTGGAATAATACTTTCTACTTTTAATAAGAAAGGGATAAATTACATTGTACTAAATTTACTCCATTAAAGTTCAATTTGCAAATTATGAATACTGTATTTTTCGTTTAGGTCAACTGCATTAATATAGTCTATAAAACCAAGCTGTATTAAGGGCCAAAAAATAAATAAATAAACAAAACATTTTTCATAAGAAAAAAAAATAACATTTTGGTATTTTGATCGTTATTAGTATTTTTATTGCATGCATTGCAAAAAAAACCTCTTAGAATAAGGTCATTTTTAAAAAACAGGAATTTAACTTTAGAGCAACTCTTCACAGCTATTCAACAGCTTAAAAAAAAGTGAATTAGCACATTTGTATTTTGTACAAAATACAGCATTATTCCGAAATAAATTTACTCCAACTCTTTTGCATAAAACTAGGTACTTGAAAATATCAATATGTAATTATGCAATTTTTTTATAAATTTATATATATATATATGTCTTGAACATATTACCTGATGTGACACAAATGTTGCAGTCTCAGAAGCTGCAAGTTTAGCCATTGCAGCTTCCTGAAAAATAATATTTCTTTAACAATTGAAATAAATAAATTAACACTACTGTATCATAAGAAAGTAGTAAATGCTGCTGTTTCAAAGGTAGTATGACAGATAGACAGCTTTTTATGAATGTTACATTTAGTACTGGTAAATACGATACAAATACTGAACACTACTGAATCAAAATCAGTATTTAGGAAAGTTACGAAAGTGCCAAAAGCAGAAAGTTTTCTGTGGAAGTTTCCTGTAATATAATATTTCACTTATAAATGTTTCTATTGATAAAACAAAATAAATGCTGAACATTATTGAGTCAAAAGAATATACTCAATAAGTAAATTTTCCGGAGATTCAAACCGAGTCATCAATATTCTGCATTTAATGTAACAAATAGTAAAAAAGTATAACATAATATTGAATCAAGTGAAGTATGTTCAATGAAAATCATCGAAAATTGTATGATGAACATAATTTTTGGGCATGAAATCTCATACAAAATAAATTATTTCTATAAAAAAATAGGAAAAACAGCTATGATATTTCTAACAGCAAAAACTTTCATCCCTTTCCTAAATTAACACAGTTTTTCTAACATATATTTTGACTTCAATGAATTAACTAGTCATTTCATTATGTAAAATATATATATATAAAAGGCTTTGAAAAAGTTGATTAAATTAGTCACTTTAATTTCTATCTCATTAATTCTTTTACAATTTTTTATTTCACATTTCTTTAAGGAAGCATATTATACTTTGTATTAAATTTTACACAACTTACGAATTTCGAAATCTATTATGATGTTAATGATTAAATATTTAAAAGTTTAAGTTAACAAGCTTTTGAAACAAAATTCGTTAAATTTGAACAGAACTTCGAGTATAAATCTATTTTAAAAGATGAATTTAACAAACATGTGGTAAAATATTTTCTTGTTTCACACGGGATTTCAATAAGTTAAGATTTCCATTAACCAAATTTGAATGTATATTTAAATTTTGTTCTCATATTTTTTAAATTAACATTTTTACACCTTTATTGAATAAATACCATAAAAAAAGAGCCCAAACAGAAAGATCCTAAAAGAAAAATGAATTAAAAAAATTATCAATTATCAATATGAATTCCAGAATATATATTTGGTTGCTAATAAAGTTTCTACCAGATTGACAACTTTTACAAAACTTATCCTTACACTAAATTACAGAATTGCGATGTTTATATGTAGTGATTCGTTATACGCTGTTGATATTTTTCGATAGAAGTTTATGCACCTATAGCAGTATATGACTAAACCAATTGCTATCGAGATTTAAAATTGTGTAGTCTCAGTTGGAAGCAAACCTTTATGGCATTCTCCTTTACTTTGAACATTAAATTAAGAATTATTTTTTAATACATTCTGTTTTAAGTAGTTGTAGTTAATTTACGTCGCACCAGAACTGTACAATAGGCTATTGGCGACTGTCTGGGAAACATCCCTGAGGATGATCCGAAGACATGCCATCACAATTTTGATCCTCTGCAGAGGGGATGGCACTCCCGCTTCGGTAGCCCGACGACCTGCACGTGAAGTCGAGCACTTTACGGTAGAACAGTTTAACGAGGACCAATACCGCACACCCTCGGTCCCTACGCAGACTAATCCAAGTGGTCACCCGCCCGCACACTGACCGCAGCCAGTGAGGCTTGACTTCTTGTGATCTGCTGGGAACCGTGTCTTAACGATCAGTCCACTGCGGGACACATTCTGTTTTAAATTAAATTTGATTCTTAAATTTTAAAACCAAAAAAAAATCCTTACTCCCATTAAATCTGTATCTGTATTTTAAATTAAACTTTTACTTTAAAACAGTACATATTTGGTTGAAAATTATATGTTTCACATCGATTTAGAATTCAATTTCCGCATCGTAGGTTTTGGTGTATAAGTAATACGGGATAATTCAATAAAAATTATTTAATTTCATGCCTTTGTGAATTTTTGTCCAGCATCTTTCAACATGGCAGCTTTCCATGTTAGCAAACGAGCAGCTTCTAATCTTGTTTCCATATCAGCTAATTTCATCTTAAAATAGAGAACAGCAAATATTCAAATGATATTAAAAATATTTGAACAGTGCGCACAAAAAAGAACCAACCTGAATAATTTTATTTTTGATCTAATGATCAGATCTTTACATGCGACTCATTTTTAATGGTTCGAGGGAATTATCTCAAATATGCTACTTAATCAGTGCAGGCAATATTTTAAGTTATGAAATCAGACACAAAAACGTATTTTCTCTGAATTAGCATACCTTTTTTTCAACGGATTCGGATTTCTAATCCTCAAAATATAAAGGGGTAGCCGCAATCAAAGGGAAATACAGTCCCTATCGTTTGGTCAGGAAAGTAATGTGAAGTTTGAACCCTATAAATGTAAATTTTACTTTTTGTGTATTTTGCCCTACCTCGAGCAATTTTTAAGGAAATCGAAAAAAAAATTTGCACACAATTATAAAATTTGTTTTTACAAAGATAATTTCATGCAAAAAAATTTTTTTTTTTAAATATTCATAATTTTTTAAATAATTAATCATCAAAAAAAATTTGAATTATAAAGGATACATTTTTTTACATCATTTTAAAATGCGTAATTTTGTATGGCAAAATATGAAATTTGAGCGAAATCTGTTGAATAGTTTCTGAAAAATCGAATTTTAAATATTAGACTTTTTCAAAATTTGATTTCTCAAGTATTATTCGAGTACAAGTAATTATGTATCTTGCCATGTAAAATTACATACTTATGCGATATAAAAAGTGGTTTTTCTTTACAATTCAACTTTTTTTTCGACCATTATTTAATAAAAGAATTAAAAATAATAAATGCTTACTAAAATTTATTTTTTTCTTAAAATTATCTTTGGATAAACAAATTTAATAATTGTGTGCAAAAATGTTTAAATTCGCTTAAAAATTTCTCCAGATATGACAAAATACGCAAAAAGTAAAATTAACATTAAAGTGTTCAAACCATAGGGACTGTATTTCTCAGATTGCGGCTTCTATTCTGAATCCATTGAAAAAAAAAACATGTTTATTTAGAAAAAGTACATTTTTGTGCCTAATTTTGTAACTTAAAGTATCATCTGTACTCAGGATCTCCCGAAGATTTTCGCTTTCTGGAGAAATTTGCTTGACTGTTCGGCATAATCTGGCTACAGCTCGATATGCGTGCTTATGATATTGGACAAGTCTGAACCTGCATATTCATGAAAATGCTCGTTTAAAATGTGTGTTTACGAAAATCTTTAAACTTAGTTTTTCAATGAGTTTTGTTCTTTTTTAAAGATAATGCAAATCAGTAATGTGACATCGTTCGTCTATTTGCGTAATTCACTTTTTATTATATGAGTTTTTTTTTTAAAAAACAAGACTTTAAAAATAAAAAGTTTTTACAAGATAGACATGGCTGTTCTAAGTTTATAGTGGTATAATAATATTGCAGAATTATGAATTTTAAAACTCGCTTTTAAAACTCGTTAGAGTTCTAAATCCAAAGATATCGCCTGAAAAATTACATCTGTAAGATACCTAGCCACAGGGCCGTCTTAACAGCATGCAGAGCCCCAGGGCAAGAAATGTTTTGGGCCCTTATAACANAACGCTCCGTTCTTGAAGTAAAAGTGCGAGCTTTGCGCCAAAGTGACGTCACTAGAGAAAATCGGAGGATTGGCACGGCGAGAGCTACTTCAAAG